GGATCCCTTCCTCAACACTTGGTTATATTTTTATCATTTAGTCCTATTCCTAGCGAGTTGTTAAGAGAAATTAGGAGACTACGACGAGCATTTTCGTGTAAAACTAAAAAATTGCATTTGATATAGAGTGATTTAGTTGGAAGGAGTGTTTCGTAATTTATATTTCGTAATATTGGCATTAAGTTTTAAAGCAATCTCCTAAATTTTAATTCATTTCCCCAAATTGGGATTAAATTTATCGTGTAATCATTAAAATGAGTATATTCCAGGCCAAAGTTTCAAAAACGGATCGAAAATATTGAAAAACAAATCTTATTTTGGCAGTCAATTGGGCATGTTTTGTCGCATTGAGCCTAGCGTTAATGAGATTACTGTAAGCAGAGCTAAACTGTTCATGATAGAATCTTAAATTGGCATTCAATCTGACATTATGCCGAAAAATAAGCATAGTCTAGCCAGAACTGCGTCTTATCCTAAGTTTGCATTTAAATCAGCATTTTATCGATGCAGTCTACGTAGTCTATCCAGTATTACCGTAAACAGAGCTATATTATGCAAGAGTGTATTACGAAAATTCACTTGATTTGGCCGATAAAAGTGCTAAATTTTTAAGAAGAAATTTTAAACTGGCATTCAGTTAGTCATGCTTCGTTGAAATGAGCTTAGTTGAAGCAAAACTAGCCTAGACGGAGCCAAACTATTTATGAAAATATTTAAATTTGTATTTTGATGGCCTGAAACCAGTGCATCGGATCAAGTCTAGCTACCTTTACCGTAAACGATATTACTTTAAAAGATTTTGCATCTGCATTTAAATTCACAGGCTTACAAAGAATTGAGATTAACCTAGTCAGAATTACTGGAATCAAAGCTGAGTTATACAAGTACTAACGTAAACAGGGCTAAAATGCTTAGGAGCGATTGCAGCAATGCCAACAAGTGTTTAGTGATTCAAGATGATTCCAAAATCAGAATTCATTTTCTTATTCTAGATATTATTATTAATGGCTTAACGTAAATTCACGGGAATAAGTCAGTAACGAGCTTTTGCCATAGGGGATTTTTCTAGTTTACCACAATTTGGGACATTTTACCGACGATTCGACTCCAAAATGCGTGAGTGCTTTGGAGATAAACGTTCTTCGAAGGGAATTCCAAAGTTTGCTTGAGGCTAGGCAATATTACCAATGACACAACTTTAATGTATATACTAATAATTTGATGACACTACATAGAAAGGTAATTCCCTCGTGTTGATTAATCCACTGTATTTTACCGACTTCAGATGTAGAATTATTATGCGAGTACACAATGCACTACTGTGTTTTGGAAGGTGTTTAACGATTTTAACTTAATTTGCACTTTATTGCCTATGGTACTCTGTTTAATTTTCAAGAATGTGTCAAGGATGCCCTCAATGGTGGGGGCCTAATTACTTTTATTTTGCTCAAACAATTTTGCTGATATCACTACACATATATATACCTGAAGAAAGTACCCTAAAATGGAGTGACTCCCCATCCCAATTCTGACTATTTAGCCATCGATGCAATGTTTCATTCAGAAAAATTCTCTCATAATAAGATTTCTTAAAAACACATTATAATGTATTTGTAGAAGGATGGTTTGGTATGAATATATATACATATATGTATTTGTATAACTTCTGAGTAACAAGTGAACGCCTTAAAATACGAATAGGTGGTTCCATACAATTCACAAATGATGTGACTATCTTTTACCGTGCCTGCCATAACCATTTAGCCATTCTACTCTATGAAGTCACTTCTATCTCTGTGTGTTTGTAAGAAGATGTAAAAAACCTCTTGTATGCGCTGAGTATTGTACCGATGATGTTTAGTAGGCTCGCCTTGAAACATTGCATTTACAGCAACGTAACCCGTTTCAGCCGCGACTAGTCTGCGGGACAGAGTGTCTGTACTGTAAAATCGAACTGTTTTGGCGCCTTGCACAAGAGTTCATCCGAATGGCCTATTCTCTTCATTATTTTCAACCAAGTCATGGCTTAGCGATCTATTCACATTCTAATCCTTTCCGTGTTCAGCCAATACCTGAACCGTCTCACCATTGTAAAAATAGTAAGCAGAGTCGGATGACCGGATAGATATGGCAGGAAGGGTGGAAATAATCTGCACAGAATGAGGTGTTATTGGACCAGGAAGGTGTCAGGTTTTCTAAACAACCTAGTGGTTCCCAATTCATTGGAGCAGACAGTTCTACACGAGTCACACGAGCAACTGGACGATGTGGATGAAAAGAGGCACTTAAACCTTTGAGCACAAAGTGATGTTTGCCTTCTCACTCCTTACATTTACCTGATTGTTTCTGAGTCTGCGTCACTTGCAGCAGCTTCAAAAGGCACCACCTCACTGCAATCGTGGCTGAGGGAAGAGGAGGCATTAACATAATGGGTTGTCCACCATTCACCAGGAGAGGAAACCGGTATATTCTGGTTATGGTAGACTGCTTCAGGAAAGGAGCCGTGGCAGAACCCATGAAGGAACAGAACGTTGAAGCAACTGCTTCGCCTTACTTTACTTGCAGAATTCGTCAACACGATGTGCCCTGAGCTGCGCATAACGATCAACACACAAAGTACTAAAAGGGATTCTTTGCTACACTATTCAAGACATTTGGAATTTAAAGCAACAAACAGTACATGGATATCCACGATGTAATGGGCATGGAAAAAGACAAAATTTCACTCAGATTCTTTTTAATGGAGGGTTGCACTGGGGACATGGACTTGGGACACTGTGACTTCAGCCTTCGGCAAGCCATTTAAGTACGGAGCTACAGTATATACATCAGCTAGCATTCCACTGTGTAAGGCGCTTACCTGCCATAAAATAGGAGTGCTAACCGATGTTTTTCTTTCAAACACTGAAGTAGTATTCTACATTGTCTCAGATTATGCACTTCGACCAAAGAAAGGATTAGGCAGACTTTCAGCGCCTCATGGGAACGCATACGACTCTCACAACCTACACAGCTAAATGCAAGTGTGTAATGCATAAATGCATACAGCAATGGTCATGCTTATTAATTTTTCTCGCTCTGAGTTTTCATTGCTACATTGAATTTAAGTAGTATGACAATGACTCCTCCAATTGCAGATTGGACATCGGTCCATGCTAGCAGCGTTCCATTACTTTTGCTTGTTAGTAATGGGTGATATGCCATGCCGCTTTTAACCACTAGAAAGTAAGGGAAAGCTGAAGATGTTCACTTTTACATGAATCAAATACCTGAATCATGAATCGCTTTTACATGAAGCACTTTTACATGGATCAAATACATGAATCAATAAAATTGTTCTTAAAAAATAAAAACAATTTGCGAGATAAACTCAACTGTCAATTTAGTAGGAACTAATTTAAGGCGTTTAAAATTTCTACACTCTTAAAACTTATGCAATGTCTTGAATTCGGTTTCTAAAGTGTTTGACCTGGGCTTTATAGGCTCACTCCAAGAGCTAATAATAATATGGTTTTTCGGATAGATAAATCAGCACACATTGAAACCCACTTGTTGCCTTTACAAGGTGTAAAGATAGCAAATCTAGTTTTTAAGGCAATAAAAGCAATTAATGCGAAAATTGGGTTTTTTTTCCACACTAAATATTGTATGTTCGTTTCTGGTGGCATATATGAAGGTCTGGGCCTTGGTGCTGACCTGGTCAGTGGAGTTTGTTTGCCGTTTGTATTGATGTGTCTATTGTTTCGAGTAATGTTTGATGGTTTTAAATGCAGTTTTTTTTTCCATTTCAAAGTATGCAATTGTACGTGAGTTTAGATAGTGACTACTGCGATCTACTGGTCTCTCAGTTTCTGTAATGCTCGTGGTTGAATACTTGAGCGCTGATGCAGAGTGGGGCCATCCAGTTAATGTGTTGTTTTTTTCTCATAGTATGCTGGTCTTTGCTAATTTTAGTGTTTTTTAGCCTTCTTTAAGTTGTGACGAGGGGGAAGGAGTTGCACTTTTGCGTATTTGTTGCCGGCGTTTAATTTGCTTGCAAGAATAGGCCTGTTGAAATGATGGGTTTAACACTTGAGGGCATTTACTGTTCCAGCCGAATTAGAGTTGACAGTCGAAGTTCTTTGGTACTTATTTCATAAAGCCGCAAAAACCAGATAAGAATACCTGAAGCTTAGTCTTTTGTTTTGCAAGTCAGAGGAAATACGCTGAAAGACTTAACGGACAACCCATCAATGGCTTGATGCTATTCACCGCGCCTCACTTTGGCCTCATACGCATTGATGCATTCAAAGATGCGAATTATCGGTTAGTGAAGTTGTCAAATGTGGAGGCTTGCTTAGTAGATAGCGCCTCGTAGGACTTGCTTCCCTTTGGTTGAGTCAAGCGGACAATGCTGTCGTTAATGAGCAGGGAGAACGAATAA